ACTCTCCTCTCTTCCATCTTTCTCAGTATTTGAGGGCATCATTGGAAAAGGAGAGGTGAAACAGCCATATTAGACGAACGCAGCCGCCTAACACACAATAATTTTGGCCGTACTACTGGACTTCACGTTTCATGTTTTACTTGTTATTCTACAGCCAACATAATGCTGTCAGCCAGTTTCTATGAAAGTGCAATAATCTTCTGTCTCGCCTGTAACTTATACCTCTCAGTTTCTCCATTTTTTCAACTAAAAAAAAGTTTTCTAGAGGCAGTGGGTATAGCTCAGTGGTAGAGTGCATGCTTAGCACGCACGAGGTCCCAGTACTTCCATTAAACATGTATTCAAATTGCTTGTTGTTCACAGAATTGGCTATAAGGAAGCTGGACTTTATAAATGATGCCTGTTTGGGATTATTGACAAATAATACAAATAATTACCATTTATTGAGTGCTCATTTTGTTTCAGACACCATGCTTTACATGGATTGTCACGTTGAATCCTTACTTTACAGATAAGGAAACTGAGGCAGTGAGAGTTCGGGTCATAGGTAGTAGCTAGAGGCGGAGCTGATTTTTCAATTCCAAAGCTTGTGCATGTGACTCCTTTGCAACTGTACCAGCTGTGAACCACAGTAAGAACGTATCTGGCACTAAAAGTGCATGTGGCTTTTCTTCAGGTGATGAATTTACAACTGGATTATGGCTTAATGTTCTGAGATGATCTGATCATTTTTCTATGTAGGTTTAATTTAAGGCAGCAGAAAAATTCTCATTTCATGTTGCATGCAACCTTTTCATCAGATGAGACATGACCTTATTTTTAATCCTTTGATCTTGAGTTATGAAGGAGGTTGTTAAAATGAATGATGTCCTGCCACCATTGCCTCTTTCTCTGAAGCCTAATCTTAGTTTATATTTCTGCCATTGCAAAGGATATTTGATTAACAAGGGCATCAATTATGATAAAGGGTGAACTTTATTTCTGGTTTTAGTTACCTCTCAAAATTGTGAATAACAAATCAGGGAGACATGATATGTTGCAGTGTGACAAATTATCTTCTTGGAATTTGAAATGTGATTTTAATTTAAGATAGTAAATGCTCATTAAACCTAAAAGGGGGAAATAAAGGGCAATGCAGAGAAGGTTAAAAATCACACTGATTCTACCACTCAATAGCTTTTAAAAATGTTGGTACATTTTATTCCAATTATATATTTTCCCCGTGTGCACAATTGTAATGCATTAGTTAGGGTTCTGGCTCATCAGGGGACTTTGGAGGGGGTGGGTGGGGAGGGCAGTTTAACAGAACTGATAGGAGGCTTGGGGCACCTGCGTTTGGAGCAGGCAATAACCAAAGGCAGCCCTGGTGGACCAGCAAACGAGAAGCAAGATGCAGAGTGACCTCAGTATAGCTGACTGAGATGCTGCTGCCCTGCCACCATGCAGGGGTCCCTCCTCCTTCCCTTCCCTGCTGTGCTGCATCCGGATTCCCTGTCTGGAGGAAGAGTATCAGGCTGCTGGGATGTGTCGTTGGCCTGCCTCTGGCTGTACCACCAGGAAGGAAGAGACAAAATTTGACCTTGGCTTTTTGAAATGAAGAAGATAGCTGACATGTTTTGTGTGTGTCAAGTAGTGCTCTAAGTGCTTTCTTAACTCATTCCAGTCCTCCCAGAAGGCCTCTGAGGCAAGTACAGCTCGTATCCCTGTTTTGCAGTTGAGTAATCAGACGAGGCGCAGAGAGGTGACGCAGCTTGCCACTGCTAGGAAGGCTGCCAGGATGTGAACCAGGAGGTCAGCCTTTAAGGCTTGGGGGCTTAACCACGCTGATCTGCTGAGCTTTGGGGAGAGGGGAGGGGTGAGGAGGTCCAGGCCTGCCTCTCACTGAGATGCCGCCCAGTGGGGTGCAGGTGGAGTTCTGGAGATGAATGCAACTGTTAACAGATAAAAGATTCATTGAAATATGCCTAGTGTTCATCACAGATACTTTTAAACTTATAATTATGCAATAATCATATTTTCCTGTAATGTGATGTTTTCGTATGATTTTGTGCATCTTAATAGTGACTGGTTTTGAAGATTTGGATTGACTTCTTTCAACCTGATTTTCCTTCTTTTAATGAGAGCTAGTAGTTATTGAATACTAACCACATGCCAGGCACACCTCTAAGTGTTTTATATCATTATTTTTTTCTTCACTGAATGTGTTTTGTGGATGACTTATCTATTTCATTTCATCAAAAAAGGAACAAGTGAATGATGCTAATACAAATGCAACTTTTGGTCAAATATTTAACTTCTGAAGGGTTGTTCTTTTTGGGGGAGCCTTGTGTCAGCCTCCTTGTTATCAAAGGATGCTGTTAGTGCCTCAAGTTTAGGACTTCAGTACAGGTGACATTTCTAATACTGTCCAGAGGAGAAGACCTGACCGACAATAGTGCTAGGGTTCTTGCCTCCATGTGTTAAGAATTGCAGTTACAGAGCAATGCGGCGATGTGTTTGCAGGTGTTTTTTTTTAAATGCAAACACCTCTCCATCATTATAGATTTCACTAGTTGAGTTGATTAAATTATGAATACTTATTATCAAATAGTAAGACAGGAAGGATTCTCTGATTGGTGTCTTCTGGATCTAAACCCAAACAAGTTGGTGTTCTATTTATCCTTAGTAAGTTCTAAACATGATTTATATTCTTGACTACTTAGTTTATTATTTTATCTTAAAATGGAACTTTTACTACATATGTGTTTGCATATATTATATTAGAGAAGTAGTACATAATTAATAAAGAACATTCAAGGTTGTAAAAATATTTGAGAAGCTTCTTCACGTCCTTTTCCCCCAAATTCACTCCCTTGAGTTGACTAAGGTTTACATTTTGGCACATATTTTGATCTTTTTTTCAAAACACGCACACACAATTTTGTCAAACTAACTGGGATTCAGTAGAGCTTTTTTTAGTTGCCTTGATAGTTAACTTTGGCATTGTTTCATGTCAGAACCCCATTCTTTCAGCGAGTAGCGCAGTGTTCTGGAATATGGATGTGTTATAATTCCCCTGTGAGCTGAAACTCGGTATTATGTCAGATTTTCACAATTTCAAGTCTGCAGTGAGTACCTTGTGCATACGTCATTGTTAATTTGTGCTGTTAATTGCAGGCTAGAATTGGAATTGCTGATTTAAAGAATATGCACATTTAATGTGTTCATAGTTTTATCAGATTGCCTTTCAAGAAGTCCTGGTCAATTCATTTGACCACAAATAGTGGATCAGAGTGCTTATCCCCACATTCCTATTGACACTGGGTATCATTAATCATTTTGATTATTGCGAATCTAATGGGTGAATCCACTGAGTTGCTTTTTTATTGATCTGTGGGTGTTCATTATGTATTGTGAACATTAACTTTTGATATATATACATTTCATCTTGTCTTACAGAATGTCATTTGTTGTCTTAATTTTATTTATAGTATCTTTTCCATTGAGAAATTTCTAATTTTTTTGTACTTAAAATGTAGTTAATTCATATTTTATTTTATGGCTTCTGCTTTATTCTAATTTCTTCTCTCTTGCAATTATGGTTAATTTCCTTCTTCTGCAGGATTATTTCCAGTATTCTATTTCTTACCAGTTAAAGTACAGAAGGACTTTCCTTGATACCATGTCTTTCAGAAACTATCTTCCATTTCTCCCGAAGTGTCTGTACTTGTCTCTTACTTGTCTCTGCCTACTCTTTCTCGAACCTACTTCAAGAAGGCTTTCTTCTCTGAGGTTTTCTGAAATAGCATTAGGGTCACCAAACACCTCTGTTTTATTAAATCCAGTGGTTGAGCCTTCATCTTACTTGACCTGTTAGCGGCGTTTGATTGATGCAGTTGACTGCTCCCTCTTTCTCAAGGCATCTTCTTCATCTCTCAGGCTTTGGGACACGACTTGCCCTTGTTTCTCCTCTAATTTCATGGCCTGTGGTTGCCTTTGCTGGTTCCTCCTCAAAATATTTTCTCCATGTTTCAGACTCTTATTGTTTGTTTTACAGTAGAATGTTTGGTAGCACTTACTGAGAGGAATAGGAAAAGTGCATCTGATTCATCTTTCTGGAAACAGAGGTCCTGTCAATCATTTTTTTTTATATTATACCTTTTTTATTGACTTATATTTAGCTTACAATGTTGTGTCAGTTTCTGGTGTACAGCATAATGTTTCAGTCATACATATACATACATATACATATATTCCTTTCCATATTGTTTTTATTATAGCTTACTATGAGATATTCAATATAGTTCCCTGTGCTATACAGTAGAAACTTGTTTATCTATTTTATATATATAGTAGTTAGTGTATGTACATCTCAAACTCCCAATTTATCTCTTCCCACCCCCTTTTCCCTCTGGTAACCATAAGTTTTTTTTTTTTTTCTATGTCTCTGAGTCTGTTTTTGTTTTGTAAATAAGTTCATTTGTGTCGTTTTTTAGATTCCACATATAAGTCATATGGTATTTTTCTTTCTCTTTCTGGCTTACTTCACTTGGTATGACAATCTTCAGGTCCATTCGTGTTGCTTCAAATGGCATTATTTAATTCTTTTTTATGGCTGAGTAGTATTCCAGTGTGTGTATATGTGTGTGTGTGTGTGTGTGTGTACATACACCACATCTGCTCTATCTAGTCATCTGTCAATGGGAATTTAGGTTGCTTCCATGTCTTGGCTATTGTAAATAATGCTGCTATGAATATTGAGGTGCATATATCTTTTCAAATTAGAATTTTCTCTGGATATATGCCCAGGAGTGGGATTGCTGGATCATATGGTAAGTCTATTTTCAGTTTTTTAAGGAACCTCCATACTGTTCTGCATTGTGGCTGCACCAATTTACATTGTCACCAACAGTGTAGGAGGAGTCCCTTTTCTCCACACCCTCTCCAGCATTTATCATTTGTGGGCTTTTTAATGATGGCCATTCTGTGTCAATCATTTATGACTCCTCTTCTCTGTGCAGGTACCTGGAACTGGAAAGCAGTGGCCATCGGAATGAAGTCAGACTACACTACCGCTCAGGCAGCCACCACCCTCACACGGAAGTGTTCCCCTACATTTTGGCTGATGATAAGTGGCACAGGCTGTCCTTGGCCATCAGTGCCTCCCACTTGGTATTACACGTCGACTGCAATAAGTAAGTGGAGTGTCCCCAGTTCAGAAAATGGAAGATTCTGAAAAATGACTGTAAACTCAGATTACTTATATGATGTTTCTTTTTTGCAGAATATATGAAAGAGTGGTGGAGAAGCCTTCCACAGACTTGCCTCTGGGCACAACGTTTTGGCTGGGACAGAGAAATAATGCACATGGATATTTTAAGGTATCTTTTGGTTAAAGTCTGAGCTTCAAGTGTGAACATAAATGCTTTCTATTGAGTTTGGCAAAGTACTTTTTGCTTTTTGTGGTGGAAAGCAAAATAATCTGTATAGTTTTTTCTATTTGCTTCTATTTCTATTTTAGTGGGTTTTTTTTTTTACATTGGTGTTCTATTGAGCTGGCCTACACTATTTTCTCTTTTTTTCCAAATGAGTTTGATCTTTAGACATAATAGAGATGATCACAAGGCTGCAATCAGGGCTGTTAACATGTTCTTGAAATTAGGCATTCAAAGTAATAAAAATCTAAAATGTTAATATACAAATAAACTCTCCACCATTGAAATATAACCTCTGATGGTCTTTTTACAGAGATGTTAGTAATAGAAGATGAAAACTTTTCAGTATTTCTTATTCATAGTCTCCTTGTACTCCTGAAAGTGAGAAAGAAAGGAATACATATATATGATCAATCTATCAGGGCTAGAAAGCAGTTATAATTTATATCTTTTTCTTTAGTGTCTAATTAGAGACCCTCCACAAAATTGCATCATTGTAAAGGATCTAAAAGACATCCCATTTAACTTTCTGTATTTGAGGATAAGGAAAGAAAGTCCAGAAAATCACTTGACTGCAGCCCATAGTGTAATTTTTCCTCCAGTAACTCTCACGATGCCTATAATGCAGAAGTGGCTCAACAAATGGTTGTGAAATAAAAGAATGATAGGTGGTGTGTCTAATTCGTGGCTTTCCAGCTAGAGTAGTTCCAAGTAACTTTAAAATTGTGTTCTAAGAAAGGTTTGTAATCCTAGAAAGGTGTTTTAAAAACTTAAAACTGTTACCTAAAAAACCAGGTGCTTTGAATATATCATTTCATCAAATCCTAGTTTTGCTGGCCTTGGTGCAGGGTCTTTTTTTCACCTTTTTATCAATACATGAACCAGTTCAGAGAGGTTAAGTAACTTGCCCGAAGCCAGTCATGGGGAGTTGATTCCATGCTTGTGAATCCTGAAAAGTCAAGGCTTCTTTCCTCCATAAGGGATAGCAAGTTTGTGCTGTCAGTGCTAAGTCTCTCCTCTGTTTAATCCTGGCAGCCTTTCCCATGGGCCCAGCTGTGGCCTCGAAAGCTTTTCACACATCAATTATATGTACTCTAGGGGTCATAATTTTTACTGTAGATTGTAAATGGTGTCCAGTAGAGTTGTGCAGTGCACAAACTATAAAACTGTACATGATAGCCTTGCTTTCATAATCCAGACCCCAAGCAAACAACAGATCCAGCAATTCACATAGAATAGTTAAATATTTGTCATTTACACTGACACACTTTTTGTACCATGCTATTTATCAGATTAAATATGTAGAAGATATATAGGCCAGGATTTGACTGGTAAATCTTTGTAGGAATATTCAAAATTGTCTTAATAATATGTTGGTACTGCCATCTCTATCATTAAATATTCTGTTTGAATGTTTTTCAAAGGAATAAAGTGAAATATTAATTAAAGAAAGTATATAAAGTTGATGAAGGAAGAGAAAAGGGGTGGTTTCATGAAGGGACAGCTGGAGTGTGTCTGATGAGGTCATTTCTGAGCTTCCATTTGCCCATTGCTTTAAGAGTCTTGATAGCTGGAAGCTAACTAAACGTTAGTGACCAAGGATGCATGTAAATTTCACATATGAGCATATGATGTGACCTTCTGGGTAAAATGGGTCATTTCCAGCTGACATGTAAAAAAAAATTTCATGCTAAACTTTCTGTACTCCTAAGGACTCATCACTAAGTCTTGCTGTAGCTGTTTAACAAATCTACTGACCTTTTTAAATTGAGAAATTTGCTTTAAAAGATCCAACAGGAAAATAAGAAATGCCCAAATAAGCATTGTTTTTCTGACTCAGTTTTTGTCTTCTTTTCTTTTTGATGATTGTAATTAACTGAAAATTGGTATCAGTTTCACTGTTGCTAATACTAGAAGTGATTTTCAGGTTGATTTTTAAAGGTCATTTTCAAGCCTTTCTTCAGTGGCTAACTAAAATAACTTCCCCCAAACAACATGACTATTGCTTCTTAATGGTATCTTGACATTTAATCTTAAGGCTTTACAAATATTACCAATAAGAAAGTATGTGGTTAATCATCTATTTTGCCTGATGTTTTTCTTTCCCTTTGGTTTGAAGTCAACGCAATGTATTCAAAAAGATTTTATCAGGGTTTTTGGTGAGTCTCTTCTGCAATGTTTTCCTTTGTGAACTTGACAGTTGAATATAATTTGGGTAGATGAAAGTAATACGTCTTTTTAAAAATTTTCACACACAGGGTATAATGCAAGATGTGCAATTGCTTGTCATGCCCCAAGGATTTATTGCTCAGTGCCCAGATCTTAATCGCAGTAAGTCCATTAGTTCTTGCACCGTGTAATGAAAAGTGTGCTTCTTGCTTAATTTTGTCCAGAATGCCAATGTGAAATTGGAATTCTCATATATTAGTTGTCAGCATAGACTTAACCAGATTGAACCCCTTTTAAATGTAACTTGACCAATGTAGTGTTTGTAATTCCAGCCTGTCCAACTTGCAATGACTTCCATGGACTCGTGCAGAAGATCATGGAGCTGCAGGATATTTTAGCCAAAACATCAGCCAAGGTAAAAGCTACGTAGAAAAAGAGTGCAGAGGGAGCTCAGAAATCCTTGAGATCCCTTACAGTTCCTTTAATAATCACCGTTGTTCACCTTTGAGACTTTTCTTATATCCTACTGTGTACAAGGACTGAACTGAAATCCCTACTCAAGGAAGGGGCTTATAAATATTCCAACCCTAGCCATCTATATAACAGATGTGTCAGTTAATCAGGAATGAGGCAGATTACTTGGTTTTTACATTACTTACTACAAGAGGATTTATTGTTTAATTTAGTTTTTGTCATTATTTATTTTCATTTAGTTTTTCTTTGTAAGGAAGGAGGCAAGAGGACATTGTAAAGAACATGGACACTAGAATTATGTCGAGGAAGTGGTCCCCACAAAGCTTCCCAGCACTGTGTTACAGTTGTAGGATTATTTGCTGTCTTAAGCACACGGCGGGTTTACCTACCGTTTCGCCAGGCTGTTGTCATAGCAGTTACTGATGAGCTGAAAGGTGTGTTATATATCGATGATTTGTTTCTGATGCAATACCAATTCTAAAATTTATGTTTTCACTTCAGCAAACAGATTCGTGAAATTAAGCATTTTAAAAATTAATGGAAGATGCCTCTGGGCATTGTTGGAGGGTGCTATTTTGACTTAGCCTTCATTTCCATCTTATAAATAATGCTTTTTTTCCCCCAGAGGCAAGGGACAAATATACTACAAAAATAAGGGAAAATTCCTTCTAAATGAAAGGCTTCCGTGTATTTGTAACAGATCGTTGATGGGCACAGCCAGCGTTACTGCTGTCCACCTAAAAAGCAATCCGATGCCTAGCGGAGTATTTTGCATTTCTGCATTGCAGCAATGGTGAACAATATAACCCCTTCCTTTGTGCCACAGCTGTCTAGGGCTGAACAGCGAATGAATAGACTGGATCAGTGCTATTGTGAAAAGACTTGCACCATGAAGGGAACCACCTACCGAGAATTCGAGTCCTGGACAGACGGCTGTAAGAACTGCACATGCCTGGTATGGCTTCTGCTGGAACTCACACTAAGGGAACTCCGCCGCACCCCCACTCTTTAAAAATTTATTAAACAGTGTAATCGTGAAAATTTCAAGACCCATTTCCTCGAGACACAACACTAAAGTGACAGCAAACCCGGGCAAATCTTAAGAACTGTGTGTTGCCTTATTAAAGACACTTTCTAGCCCGTAAAGATGATGATGGTTTAAGAATGCTGTAAAGTTTTAAGTTTATCCGTACACACGTGACATTAACAATTTAAATTGGGTCAGTAAGGGAATTCCCAAAGGATTCTATCTTGTAATCCTTAACTTTTCCAGGGATTTTTCCCCTCATGTTTTTATTAATGCATTTCTATAAAACTAAGGTATATGCAGTGGGAAGTATGGTGAGCAGATTGGGCTGTATAAACAAATAATAGGCTTTAAATAATCTTTAGAAGTTTACTAATACAGTGGAATACAAATTATAGTGCTTAAATAAATGTAATTTCTCTAATTGCTCACTAATAAAGTAGAATATTTAGTGCATTCTTATTTTAAAAATACAAGTTCATCTTCAAGGAAAGGTTCAAAATGAGTTTGGTTTTGAACTTTCAAATTCCTCATGAATGCATCTGTTAAAACTGGTTGACTGGAAAGAAGTCTGAAGTCTAAAAAAATTTGTTTTCCCACGTTCATCCAGTTTATTCAAAAATGGAACATCATTGATATAAGAAGATCAAAGTTAGCTGTGAAATAACCACACGTGCATGTGTGTGTGCGTGCTTTGTGTGATTTCTATTCAGGAACATATTAAACTCTTACCAGTTTGGCATTTTACCATTTGGCATTTTACAAATGCGGTAAAACCTTCTCCACTTGATAAATGGGTGCCCAAAATCAAACTGAGTGAAATATCAAATGTGGTGTGGTGAAGTCAATAACATGGCTAGATAACATGAAGCTATCTGGGAGTTCCGGATGACCTTAGGGAATCAAATTCCTTGAGGTCTCCTCTGCAGGTTGGCACCTCCCGTGATGATTGTCAGCACTGATTCATGGTGGTGGCCTGTCCGAGCTTAGATGTCCATGGGGAGATTTCTGTGTCCCGAGTCTGGGTCTTCAAGATGGCAGCAGCTAGTCCAGTAGCCCCCTCATTTGTTGATGCTCACTTTGGGAGTCATCTGGGGAGATGGGTACCCCAGACATACCCCCAGCCTGCTAGTTCCCTGTCAGTGTGTGCCCTTCCCTCCACCCTTGTCCTCATCCACTTGACAGCAGGAGGTGAGAACTGTAGCTCAGTTGCTGGACAGAAGATGGGGCCAATTACCATCTGTGTTATGAGCCAATTTGTATTACTGTGGGTCTCTGTATTATGGGTTTTACTGTGTAATAACCAAAGAGAATAGTGGGGCGTTTGAAATTTAAGAACCAAATTAAAAATACTTGAATGCTACCAAACTGCAACTTGGACATTCTTTAAAATATTGTTTTCTTCTCAGAATGGAACCATCCAGTGTGAAACTCTGATCTGCCCGAATCCCGACTGCCCCCTCAAGTCGGCGCTTGCATACGTGGATGGCCGGTGCTGTAAGGAATGCAAATGTGAGCATAACTTTGATGATGAATACTCTTTTGGCCAAAGGCAAGCTTCGTATTGATAAATACTCACCCACCGTTGGTTTAATCTGGGGAAGCTAAATAGCTTTTAGAGATGCTGGCAGTAGGAAGAATGCCGGCAGTAGGAAGAATGCCTTCTCTACTTCGGTTGAGCAGTTCTTTTCCATTTAAAAATGGTGTACTTGTATTCTAGCAAGAACATTTTTTTCGGAGAAATCTATTCTGTATAGTGACAGTGGTGGCAAAGACACGAAAGAAACTTAGTGGAAGGCGTTTCTGTCATTACACTGCTTGATAACAAATACCTCCCAACTAGGTGAAGAATAGTCCGCACTCAGCCACAATGACCAAAGAAATCCAGGATACAAGTGACCTTCAACAGCAGGTGATACGAAACTCCATTAACCCAAACTGCACAAGTACACACTGTTAGAGGATTGTCCACTGTGCAACAGGGCCGGGTCCTTAATTCATAAAAAGAGGCTCACGCCACTGACTGAGGAAGCTGCCTGCCTTCTAGCAGCTGGTTTATGCAGTTCACTTGTGACATCTGGAAGTGCTCTTTGAACAAGTTCTGTATCATTTATTTAATAACAGTAATCATTGCGTGTATATCACTTATACTTTAAAAGACGGCCCTTAAATCCTTGTTAAAAGTAGCATTTAAAATTTAGCTCTTTTTTTTAAACCAAGGGTTAGTAATATATATGAAAATCGGGCTGTTATTAAATTTGTAGTATATCTAGGGCCATATAAGTGCAATATAATTATACACACACATGCACACACACACACACAAAGGATGAGGGAGGGTAAAGGAGAGGGAGAGAAAAGTACTGGCTGCTTTTCTAGGGTTTTTATCTTTGCTTCGTTACCATTGCCATGCCTTACTCTCGCCTATGCAGTGTGCAGGGTGCAACTTCTGACGAGAGTGACAAGTTATCAGAGGAAAATCAGGGAGTTGCTTTGTAGTCCATTGATTGAGTTCCCTGAGGAGCTCATTTATATTTAATTTTGTTGGACTTTCCACTGAAGCCAGTCCATTTCGTGAGAGTGTATTATTAGCCTAGTCAAGTAGGTTTGGCTGAACCAGGAAGGACTGGATGCAGTCACTCTCACACAGATCACTAGCTCATTTCCTTGGAGGGGGAATCTGAGTTCTTCCTTGAACTTGTCTCAGTAATGAAAAGCGTGTGGTGATATTCAGTAGGTTTCTTTGTGGATGCTTGGAGGTAGGAGGAAGAAGGGTCCTCTTTAGGACTTTATATGCATAACACAATAGCAGGAATTACGCTTTTGCTCTAACTTCTTTTATCCTTTCCACTGATCCTTCTACATTGTTACCTGTGAATAGGATAGATTTGCAGTAAGTGATGTTGATTTTATTAGCGACAGGCTGATTGAAATAATGGACCATCATGATGGATTAGTCAGAAATTGTGAGTTTCAGTTCTGATTCTACCATTTGTCTCTGTTATCAACAGCAAGCTGCCTACTAAATCAGACTATGCTTAAAATCTTCCCAACAAGCATGCAGTTAGACGTAATGAAATGGTAAAATATTTTGAGATTCATTAATGCAAAGTGCTTCTGGCAGACTTTGGTGTTAATGATTGAAAATCAACTGTGTCTCATATATAAAATAGTGAAAGCTGTAAGTAAGCGATCAGTGAGTGTGGGGACCACAACATCACCGGAGAAGTGCCAGAATAATTCATTTGAATCTTTCATATGGTTAAAAATAATAAGGATGGAGTGACTCTGTCTTTCTGGTCATATTCAGTGATAAAAACGCCGTAGAATATAGAGGATTTGTGTCCCGTATTTGTTTGTGTTTTGGGTATTCGAACTTCTGGTTCTGATGAATTCGACATTTTACAAAAGCTAGCAAGATATCTTCAGTAAACAGTCACAGAAGTTTTTTTTTTTTTTTTTCCCATAAGGGAAATAAGCACTTAGTTCATATGGAAGTATTAGAGATTATTTGGGAGTTTGTCTCCAAATAGATAAATTTAAAACCAATCACTAAAAATATTTCAGAAAATGTGCTTCTGAAAAGTTTTGCAAACACTTACTTTATGACAGATAAATAGCACTTAAATTTAATAATCAGTAGCTGACTTGTTTAGACAGTTCAGCTTTTCACATGTGCTGAAAATGGAAGAAACCAATAGTTACACATACCCATGATGTTGTGCGTGAGAGCGTGTGTGTGTGTGTGTGTGTGTTTCACTGTTACATATGAGGGGAAGGAAATTGTCTCATTTTCCTATGTTGATTTTCCTAGTATTATCATCGCTATAATTTATGAGAGCTTATTTTTGGCGGAATATAAGTTAAGTTCTGTATGTTTCACTTTTTAAAACCCAAGCATAAGCCTTCTTATACACTGCGCTCATTCTATCTTTGAAACTCTTGCTCAATAGCCTTTTGAATGACATAAAATTAACAAAATATATTCTTTAGTGAGAGCTGTTTAAAGAGATTCATCAGTGATCGTTTCTAAAGCCCTTGGAAGGTAAAACCCATAACCTAACTGCTGAACATTACTCTTCCAAGACGGTAATGAACAAAGTCATTGCGTGTGGCCAGTTTTGTTTGGTCTCCTTTATTTAACGCTTTCAGCCTGGCTTCACTGGAGTTGTTTGTGCAACATTCAGCAGCCCTATTTGCAGCCTGCTTTATATTTTCTCTCTGTAACTTCAGCTCCAGCCCTTTATCCAGAAATAAATACTGTTGAATGGTGAGAAGGTTGTTGTTCTGGGAAAGACGTCAGAGAGAGCCAAGGCTGTCCCTTGTCTTTATTTGAATCTACATAAGCAAAGTCTTGGGAGGAGGGGCTTAACCTTTTATGTCCCCACCACTGAGCCACTGTGATGGAGTGAACAGAGACAGAATGAAATCCGAAGGCAGGAATGCCAACACCAAACCATTAAGGTAATAATAATCACAACTGTAATGAAGTCATGTCACTTCCTTAGGTTAGAAGGCACATACTCTGCTTCTCATGTGATCTTTACAACAGCTCTATAAGGTAGGTGTTGCCTTCATTGTCCTAATAAGGGAGATTACGTGACTTGTCCAAGAGCATACAGTTAGATGCCTTAGAAAAATTCTATCTGAAAGTGCTGTGCTTTGCCAGCCTGCTTCTCTCTTTAAAACCATCTGCTATAATTAATCTAAGTGATTCACTTTTATTGACTAGTAACTAAGCTTTTCAATGACATAAACACATTTGGGATCCCGGCTGAGTCTAGGCAAAATTGCCAGGTAGGCAGAGTTTGCCTTTGTCCCTCTATCTGCCCCCCTTTCAGCCACTGCCACCACATCCTTTATCCCAGTCACAGCTCTTACCCAGCCAACAGCAAGATCAACTGACACACATTCAAGGCAGCTCTAGAAAATATAAAGTATAAGTATCTTGGATGACTTTCAATCTGAAATAGGATGAGGTCTAACTAATGAAAGTACATAAAACCTCAAGCCAGGTTACAAAAAAAAAAGAATTATCAGAAAGTAATCATCTAAAGTGCTAGGAAGCAGGAAGTTACTGAAAACCACTGAAATTAGAAAAAAATTGGAAGTATTCAGTGGATTGTAGATTCAAGTTTGGACACACAGCTCTGCTTCGCAGAAAAGGTGATTCATGGAAATAGGAAATTTGAAGCAAATCTGAACTAAAGCTGTCGTGTCTTTTGCAGAAGAGGCTGTATTTTAAAAAACAAAGAAGGCAGATTTCCTCTCCATTTCTAGAAAGGCATCAAATACAGGAAATAGAGATGTGACCTTCAAAACTGGTTGGTGCTTGGCTGGTAGCCATAGTTACTTTAATTGGTGTTTTCTCAACGAGGCGGGATTTATATGAATTAATTAAAATTATTCTTTTGGTTGAACAAAGTCAGAGTTTTAATATGTAACATAGATTATATTTTAATGTGTTCTGTGCTATTGGGTATCATATTGTTTCAATCTTCATTTCAGAACACTCAGCTTACATAGAATCTATTTGTTATTTTGTCTTTGCGTATTGAGTAGTCAAGTGTGTGGGTTATAGAGCTAGATTTTCTAGGTTTGAATTCTAGCTCTGCTGTCTATTAATTTATTAGCTGTGTGACTTTGGTCAAGTTACTGAACCTCTCAAAGTCTCAGTTTTCCCATCCGTAAAATTATATCTAAGGGTTGGCCTGAGGACTGAGTGAGGAATACACGTAAAGTGCTTAGAACACTGTTAGCTATTATTATTGTTTTTATTAGAAGAACCATTTATGTTTTTATTGATGAAAATACAAAGTGGTGACACTTTCTCATTGGGCCAAAAAGCTTAAAGCTACACAGGACCTTAGAGGTCGTTAGAGCAACAATTTGCTTTTGAGGAGCTGAAGTTTCATTATCTGTATTTTACATAGAAGTAATGAAGCCCGGGAGGTTAAATGGCTTTTCTAAGATTAAACAGTTAGTATGTAATACAAGATAATTTTTTTTTCCAATTTCTGTTCTGATACACACAGTACTACTCTCAAGGCCCATTCCTCCGTCAACATTTTGAATAGGTCTTAACCAAGTTTGATACTAAGAACAAATTTATCATGCATTATGTAGTCTTCTGTGTCTGGCTTCTTTCATTCAAAATCATGTTTGTGAGATTCTTCTCCATTTTTGCATGTAGATGTCGATTATTCATACTTATTGCCATAAATATTCTATCCGTGTTAATGTACCCAAATCTAATTTAATATTGCAGAGTGAGTTAGATGGTTTCCAGGCTCTGTAAATAGTCCTTTTATAACCAGCTTTACCTGTTTTTTGGTGTTGTGCATGCCCGATGGGTATATGCCTTAGAATTGTTTGACCACAGGATAGAACTGTTTTATTCGTTGGCAAAACTGTTTTACCCTTCGGCATAATCTGTTTTGTCAAAAAGTTTTCTAAAGTGGTTATACTAGCTCGCCCTCCCACCGACGACGTACAAACATTCCAGTTGCTCCACATTCTCTCCCACACTTAGCATTTTTGGACTTTTTAATTTTAAGCATTATGATAAATGATGTTGGTACATCATACTGTGCTGTTGCTCAAATTGGCATTTCTCTGATGACAAATGAAGATGAGCACCCTTTCCTGTATTTATGGACCAATTTCATTAATTTAAGAGTAGAATTTTTTTATATGAACACTTTCCCAAAGAACCTTTCTCTTGTTTTTGGCAGAAGATGGTAGTTTGGGAGGTTTGATTCTTTTATTTTCGCACTAGTGTGCAAACGTGGATGATTCTAGCTCTGTCACTTACAAGGCATAGCAAGCATTAAATGAATGCTACACACGTAACTTAGGGATTTTTTTTTTTTACAGAGGAATGACAATATAATGAAACTGACTCAGAGACTTTTGAACATATGAATATAGGGAAGAGGAAGAAATTATATTTCACCTAGAATCTCTTTGTTCTTTAAAAAAAGAAGAAACGTAATTTACATTGGCTATATATGAAAAAGAAAATAATTTTGGAGCAACATAGCCAATAAACTTAGCTGTCTCTACAGTAATTTTGGAAGCATGAGAAATCTGTAATATGCACCGGGGGTTCTCATGCGTGAATACAATTAGAATTGAGTTGGCAAGTTGGCATTATAGAGACATGAGGGGCTACCTGACCAGAATGCTGATGCTGACTGAGGGCATCTATGCAATAATGAAAAAGGTAGACACAGCAATCAAAAGGAAGGTGTGTTGTTTTAGACACCAAATGCAGTATTTTTAGAAAGCTTCCTGAAAGTCAGTAGTTATTAAGGAATATTATGTCAGCAAACAATTGAATGAGCTGAGAGCTAAGGATGTTGTTGTAAATCATGTGCACTGCCTTGGTATGGATTCAGTCTTTTCTCACCAAAATTACCTTAATTTAGTATTTAAAATAATATTGGATAACTCATAGAATGAGGGCACTTTTCTAATGCTATAGCTATGTGTGAAACACTGGGCAAGAACATAGTTCACTTGTATGTTAGTTAAGATCATTGAGCTTAATTTCACTGAAGACAAATAGCCACATTTTATTAAACAGAGATTTTATCAAGATAACCCTGTAGACTTCCTGAGCATGCTCATTAATTTTGTGCAGGTATTTTTTCATAAACTCTTCAAACAGGCATTTGGCATACTGCTATCTTTTAAACATTATAAAAACTGATAAATGTCGAATCAATGGAAAAAATACTGAACTGGCAATATATTAGTAAGCAAGAGTAATTAACAATATAGCCTTCAGATTAATGACTCTGTGAGACACGACATGATACATTTTAATGATCTTTAGAAAATAAAAAATCTATTGTTAACAAGTCAGCTTGTAGCAGAGCTGGGAATGCCAGGAAAAGGCAGGCAGGGCAGAATTATAGGATGATGACAATGTCACAGTGATTTGCTACTGTGTCCTCTGCTCTGCAGTCCTGAGATGTTTGACTTGATCATTCTTTCTTTCTAATCCTACTCTAGCATTTTTAAGGTTTTAACTAAAAATAAGGCGTGCATATAGCAAATAGTCAATCCATCCAAAAAGATACAAAATGAAACAGAAAAATCTCTCTTCTCCTCCCTCCCCTGCAGGTCTAGTTCTTGTGTATCCTTCCGCGTGATTATCAAGGCGTCCACTCACGTGTGCAAGCGTAGGCTTGTCATGTGCTTGTAAAGGATGTCCTGTGTCTTCCTGTACATTTATCTTGAAGATGTTTCCGTATCAATGCTTTTAAAAATGGCTGCATAGTCCTCTAGTGTAGAGTTTATCATAATGTTATTTCTTCCTTCTCAAAGGGTATTTTGATTGTTTCCAATTTATTGTTGTTTTTCTTATGAAGGCCAATGTGGTGAGATGTCATTCATAGATAATCTTGGTACACTTTTATATGGCTTTATACGGTCAATTGCTAAGGGTGGGATTGCTGGGTCAAGGACCATGGCACCTTTAAATATCTCCATCTCTTGCTCCCCTATTCCTCTCTTGCTCTGAATGACTGCAGAAAGCTGACCCTGGGTGTTTTCCCGTCTAGTGAGGAGCACTAGGTGGCAGTGCCCAGGGAAACCTGGAAACACTTTTCTCTCAGTTTCACGGCTCTTTTGTTTTGTTTTGTTTTTGTTTGTTTGTTTTTAATAGAAATATAGTCAGTCTATAGTGTTGTGTTAATTTCTGTCGTACAGCATAGTGATTCAGTTATACATATATATATATATTCTTTTTCATACTCTTTTTCATTATAGGCTATTACAAGATATTGAATATAGTTCCCTGTGCTGTACTATACAGCTGGGCATTTACAAAGGGCATCAGGGGGTGATTTTCTTTTTCCCAAGCAACTTGGACAAGGTAAGAGCAATTCACAGGAGACCCCTTAATGAAGGATAGTCTATGCAAGCCTGAACTTCTTGTCTTACCACAAACAGTGTTGTCTGGTGAGCCCATAGGAAATAAGTTTTACAATTAATTGCTGTTCTGCATCTTCAGTAACCATGGATGGCCTAAGAATAAATTGAATTTATTTATTTTTTCGGAAATGAAAGTGGTTTTCTGGAAGACATAACACAGGTCCTGCCCTCTGATTTTGAGGCATTATGCTGTGCCTGTTTAATCATGGTTTATTCTAAAATAAGAGAGAGTACTCAGCCTCTAGTTCTTCATCTGAATTGTAATTTCTCTTTATTATTAAGATACTTGAATAAATGTATTTTGTGGATTTTATTATTTTTCATGCCCCATTACATTTGCTCAAAAGAATTTCTATGCCCATCTAATGACATTGCTTAAATGGCCTAAAACCTTCAGGAGAGCTTTATGCAAATCTGTCTGTTGATAATAATTAAATCAAACTGTCTGGCACAATTCAAGGAGGCTAAAAGTGGGACTCCTTAGAGGCTAGTCCTGCTTACCAGTGTAAGGCTTTGAAACAAATGAGAGAATTTCAGATTTCCACCAAAGCCAAAGAGCAATCATCTACATATCATTCATATGAGACTCAAGTGAAGAGAAGAAAAACACTCGTCTTAGGCAGAGAATGCAGCCTCTTATCTGCAGTGTTGTTAGGTAATTGTTTCAAAAAATGAGCTGATTTTCTTCTCAATAGAGATCATACAAAATGGCATTTTGAAATCAGAAGAGGGGAAAAAATAAGATACATGCAATTTAAAGCCTCTTACAAGTTGATTTCGGCGATTATGTAAAAAGTAGTTACCCAGGAAGACCAGCCACGTAACAAAGATAAATGGACACCATAGTGCCCATTGGAGGGTAGAGCCACGGGTCCCACCGTCCCCAAGAAAATGTACAGAACAGCGACACAGCACAGCGGACTCCCCGCAGGCCGCCTTGAATACTGTGTGTGGCCTGGGCTCTCTGGTACGTATTTACAGACTGTATGCAATTAGTATAGATTAACAATTTGATGAAGAAAACACAATGATTTAGGGGTTTAGTGGGAGGAAGGGTCAGAAAGGAATTCTCCTTTTCAGTTCAGAGAGTACAACAAAGGCAAATTTCTTTTTTTATAAAAGCTGGCCCCCAATTCAAAACTATTAAGCTATTGAAAAACACACACAGGAAATTACATGACATTGTTTTAAGTGTTGTTACTGGAGTAGTTGGTGGAGAGAATGGAGCTGCATCCAGCTCAGGAACAGTAACTGTGTAAGACATCTGTCCCTTGGAACGGCCGCTGTAATCCCGTGGCCTGCTGCTGGAACATTCTATCCACATAGGTACTAGAACCTTTGCCTAGAATTTGCTTCTAACTGGCAACAGCTCCTACACACACTCTCTCCACCCCAGTGGTTGGAATGTTGCCTCCAGTAGGGAACTGGCTATGTGGTCTCTGGAGTTTGGGCCACACCGGGTTTTTAGGATTTGATATTCACATCTTGGCCTCGTTGTTTGTTTCATACTTCAGTTACATTGTTGGTGTACAAGCATTTCTGGGCTGGCTGACTTCAGAATTGCCCTCACCTACAAATGTTATTTCCAAGTTGGAAAGACATGTTTCACAAACACTTGTGCAACAAACTCAGCAATGTAGGACAGAGAATTTTAGGTCTCCATAGTATAAGAGATCATATGCAGATACAGTATTTATGATTTTAACCATTGGCAAGGGACCTGAATGATCCCTGAAACACACATTTGTAATTTTGCTGAGACCTGAATTTTCATCCAACCAGCTGTGAGGCTTAGCCTGTATTGCAGAAGCACATCACTGAGCTGAGTGCTTCTCGGACTGAAATGGGAATGTGAATCACCTGGGGATCTTGTTAAGATTAGAATTATGATTCCGTGGTTCTGGGGTGGGGCCTGAGAGTTTGCATTTCTAAGCAGCTCCTGGGTGATGCTGCTTTGTGGAACACATTAGATTAGCAAAGATTTAGCTCGTGGATATGCTTTCCTGATTGTTCAGATTTTCAATGGAGCTTTATTTTTCTCTCTTGGATCTTAAGTATGCAGTAAGGCCTCAAAATATATGTTTTAGGGTTTATGGTTCGAGCTAACATTTAGTAAGTATCTTCCGAGTATGGGAACGCAACATACATCATTCTGTTCCTTCTCATATGATTTCTAATTTACAGATGAGAAAACCAAAGCTTAGAGAGGTTCCTTTACTTGCCCAAGGTAACACAGCCAGTAAAGTGGCAGCGTTGCAGTGGAACACGTGCAGTGTTTCTCATATATGCTGCCTCGTGTGATGTGTAACATGTTTCATTTGTGGAAAGAGAGAATCAGTTTGAATAGAGAAGTAAAAAATTTATGATGTTCAGGAGGAGACAGCAGTAATCATATGTTGAAATTATATCCAAATACTTAGGAAATACAATTTTATAACACATTGTACTCAGTAAGAAAGGAGAGAAAGATCAATTGTAAATTACCCATTATGCATTACTAGTATGAAGTGTTTGTGCCTATTATAGGAAGCAGAACTTTTCATTGCTTTGTGGTATATCAGGTATGGAACAAAGACTGTTGATTCTGATAGTTCAGGAAAAGAAAATTTAAAAGCAACTATCTTCTGGTTGGATTTTTTGATTTTGGCAAAGAATGGGGAAAGAACTTTGAATTAAAATTTCAAAGTATCTACTGAAAAGGTCTAGAATAGACCTACCTGGATTATTGATTGGAATTCTTGAAAGTCTGTGATCAGGGAGAATTCTTCCTCCTTCATTCCAAAATCTTTTTTTTTTTTAAGTTTTCTTTGTATTTTCATTAAATGAAGTCTCTTTCTAAATACTCTTTTTAAATTTAAATTTTTTGTTGAAGTATAATTGATTTGTAATATTGTGGTAGTTTCGGGTGTACAGCAAAGTGATTCAGTTATACATATATATTATAGATGTATATTTCTATATTATTTTTTGATTATTTTCCATTATAGGTTATTACAAGATATTGAATATAGTTCCCTGTGCTATGCAGTGAATCCTTGTTGTTTATCTATTTTGTATATGATAGTGTGTACCTGTTAATCCCATTCTTCTAATTGGCCCCTCCCTGCCTTCTAAATACTCTTGGTGGACTAATTCACATCAGTCTAACTTCCCACGCCTTTAGTGGCTTGCCACAGTCTTTATAAGGTATATAGTTTCAGCTTATGTTGGGTGACTCTGCTGCGATGAACTGTGCTGTCTCAATGGTAAATTAAACTGTTCTTGTTAAGCTTGTTAACTGTTCGTGTCCCACATACATTGAAGTCTTCGGATTTTTTTTATTGTAGATCTTATAAGAATAAGATTAATAAAAGCAACCCAGTATTAGAAAACTTTAGGACAATGCGCTTTGCATCAGCTTAAATTCCTTTTTCTCCTTTGCAAAAATTCCCTGATAAATCCATGCCCTTGGAACTGTGCTCCGTGCCCCTTAGTTCCCGGGGTTGATTCAGACGTGGTGGTCTAGGAGGAGTTAGTGAACCTGCACAAATGTACTTCGTGATGTAAAACCGAGTGTGTGCAGATGGACCTGGACAGTCTCTTGGTTTTTATTTAACCTACTCCAGCCTTTTTGACCAATTTTAGGTCCTCATAGTTGATTGTAGCATCATTTGTAAGGAAACATGAAAGATGAAGTTTTTTTTTTTCCCTGAGTGATTATTGTTAGATTTGGGAATTTGGGAAGCTAATTCTTTAGTGTGTTTGGAAGGAGAAAAGAAATGCAGTGGGTAACACATTTTTTTTCCACACTGTTTTGTGGGTAAGCATCATGTCCTTAGAACAGTTAAAAGGTACGCTTTTCTGATCACAAATAAGTTGATCTTGCAGCAAGCAGTGTTAAGCATTTCTCATTTATTTTTATGCCCATTGTCTACCTCCAGCATTTCTCAGGCCCTGAATCCCAGAAAGGTCACTTTTATTTTGTTGGTTGGGAAGGAGGGAGGGGGTGGGCTAGTATAGAACAAGATGAACATTGTACTTGTTCACTGATTTATTTAATCTATTAATGTCCCTTCGGACCATGATTCCTAAATGCGGTAGGGCTTAGAGCTGGGGGAGACAATCAGCTGAATGTAGAATGGAATTGGATTAAGTGTCCTGGCTGAGTTTGCCGTATGCCCAGGGATGAGTTTACAAGCAGGAGAGCTTGGAATAATCCTAGAAATAGTAGTACGGGGGTGATTGTTCTATGCATATAGAAATTGAGTGAAACAAAGGTGAAATTGTGTGTCTTGCCACTGTGTCTCTTTCCAGTAATTTTTAATCATTTGAAAAATAGTTATTAAGTGCCTCCTCTGAAATTAGTCTCTGCTAGACGCTGAAGATAGAGTGGTGAACAAAATAAGATTGCTCTCTGCCTTCATGAACCTAATAATCAAGTCAAGGAGACAGGCATTAATCATGTAATGAGCAAAAATGCAGTGAAATGTTGCAGCAGTAAGATGTTGATACAGCACATGTTATAAGTGAAATTCACCTAGCATGGAGATCAGAGAAGGCATCCTTCAGAAAATGATGTTCGAGGTGAGAGCTGATAAACAAATAACATTACACTAGTAAAGAGAAGAAGAAGAAATGTTCAGGGTTAGGAAATTTAATATGCAAAGGCTCTGTAGGGAGGGAGGATGTTGTGAGAGAAGGCTGGTGTGGCTGGCTGATGGGCAGAGAGTCAAGGGCAAGGTGTGAGATGTAGACAGAGAGGTCAGAAAGGGCCAGATGAAGGAGTTTTATTTTTATCCTAAGGGCGATGGTATGCAAGTTAAATATTTTAAGCAAGGAAGGTCTGTTTTAGCAGTTATCCAGAAAAGACTTGATGGGACCTTCATTAGGTAGGAGTGAAATATATATTTAAGAGAGAGCCAACAGGATTTTCTGATGGCTGGATATGGGTATGAGTAAAAGGGGAGTCAGGATGACTCCAAGGTTTGGGGATTGAGGAAGGAGATGGATAGAGTTGATATTAAGTCAGATGGGGAAGGATGCTCTCTGAGCTGGATTTGGGAGGGTGGCTAAGATTTAGAGTTCCTTTTAGATATGTTCTGTTTGACAGATATGTTAGTCATTTAAATGGAAATGTAGACAAGTAGTTGAGTATGTGAGTCTGGAGTCTGGGACAAAGATCAAAAGTACAGCTAAAATTGGGATTGTTGAATTTTTTTTTCATATGTTTCTTGGCAATTTGATGTATGGGGTATGGTATCTCATCCAGTGTGACTTAAGTATAGTGAGTGGTGTGACAGTGTAAGTAGAGTATTTTGTGGTGAAGGTGGAGAAAGATTCAAAGACCAGATAATACAGGACCTTTCAGGTGATCTGAAAGATCTTGGATCTTGATATCTAACACCAAAGCACTAGGAAGCATTTGAAGGGTTTTAAGCAATAAAATGTGATAAAGCATTACATTTTAGACAGATTACTCTGCAGCGGTGTGAGAGCTGGATTGAAAGGAGCAGTAGGAGATACAGGGCATTAGGCAGCATTAGCCCTAGTCCGACTGAGAGGGTTGCAGTCTGGGGTAGGATAATGGCTACGAAATTGGAAAGAATTGAATGGATTTGAACATGTAGGAAGTAGAATAGGTCATTTATGCCGACTGGATTTCAGGGATTGATGGAGAGAGAGATGGATTACAAAGAAGTTTCGTATTTTAGATTTACACCAGTAGGTGTACGAGTTTGCTCCTAGCTGAAGTAGAGAGAACTGGAATACAAGCCAGTTTGAGGGAGATTATGAGTTCAGTTTGATCATACTGAGTTTGACATGCCCATGGGTGTTTTAGAGAAAATATTCAAGTTTGATGTATAAGTTAAAAGTTTAGAAGAAAAATCTGAACAGGAGATACAAACACAGGAAGTCATCTGTATATAGATGCTAATTGAAGCCATGGGGGTTTGTTAGAGTTACTTAGGGAGAGAATATCGTGAGAAAAGAAGAGGACAGGGACCAACCCTGCAGGTATCCTAACATTTAAAATCTGCAAGAGATTGGATGAGCCTGTAAAACCATCTGAGAAAGTGTTGTCACACGGAAAATCAAAAGCATTTTTTGTACCAGGGGAGCTATGGGAAGAATGTTTTAGGAAGGAGGAAGTGGTGCATGATAACAAATGTACTGTGAGGACAGGGACGATGATATCCAACATAGTTCATCAGATTCAAAACATGGCTGTAACTGACATCATGAGAGCACTCTTGGTGGACCAGAAAGGAAGCCAGCTTGGAGTGGGCTATGGGGAGTGGATAGGAGGAAAGATGGTGATGCTTTTTGCAATAAATTTGTCTGTTAATGGAGGAGAGATGTTAATGGAAGGAGAGATGGACCAATGGGAAGAGGTGGATTGGCAGCATATGGTAGGGTCTAGGGATTTTTTTTTTAAGATGGCAGAGAATAGGAATAGATAATATTTAAATGTTGGTGGCATATACGAGAGAGGTTGAAAATAGAAGCGAGGAATTAATTGATGGTATAGATTGAGCAGAAAAGGTAGGGTTCAGAGCATAATTGGAGGCTTTTACCTTTGATGGGTGGAGGGGCACCCCCTACAAGAGGGAAGGAAATGTGGGTGGATACAGATGTACTGAAATGTATTGATTTGGTGGGAAGGAAGTGGAAGGAGTGGAGTCTGTCTGACAACATTTATTTTCTTTGTGAAGTGAGACCCAAAATGAATTACTGGGGAGAAGCAGCAGAGTCAGAGGTAGAGAGACAGGTTGAAAGGTAGTTGCCTAAGAAACGTTAAAGTTACTAACTAGAGGCTGCTATTCATCCATCTGTGTGTACGATTTTCCCTTAACTTTTTGACAACCCAGATGGAGGCATGAGGAAAGTAGATTGATTCATCCATGGATGGAATTTTGCTTTCTGGATAAAGAAGTTTATGATGTTGGCCAAAAATGGATCAAAACTAAAGACTCACAAGATTTAAGTTGGATAGAAAAGAAGATCAGGACAGTTGAGGGCGAATCAATAGGTAGAAAGTGAATTCAGATTGAACAGGAAATACTAATAGGGTTGAAGAATAAATGCAGTCAGAGTCATTGAGGAGGCAACTTGGAAGTGTGAGGAGTTTGAGCCGGAGAGTAAGTAGAATGTCTGATTTAGAGCAATTTTGAGTGAGACAGGTGCAGATTATGATTATACAAGTGAAGTGGGGGTGAGGGTGGGGTCAAAGGAACCAAGAGGTGGGGCGCTGGATGGATGGGTCAATTACTTAGATGCCAAAAATCTTCCAGAATGTTGTAGACATTTGGATGGAGAGAGAGATTGGATGGAGACCCAGATTTCAAAGTCAGCAATGAAAGAAAGGGAATGTCCAATGGTGTGTGTGTATGTGTGTGTGTGTGCGTGTGTGTGTGCGCTTGCATGTGCATGTGCATAAATGGTAGGAACGCTGGTGACATGAACCTCAAGGAGCAGATTTTTGTTTGGGAGAGTGGAGACTGTATCTTCTGTATCAGTGTCTTCTGACTCTGAAGTACGGAATGTGTACTTCGTAGTATACATGATGTACATGAATGTACTGTTGATGAATACATCGCTTGAATACATGAATGCATTATTTTACTAGGGCTGATTAGTGAAATAGCACAGACTGGGTGGCTTAAACAACAGACATTTATTTTCTCAGAGTTCTGGAGGCTGGAAGTCCAAGATTAAGGCGTTGGCACGTTTGGTTTCACCCAAGGCCCCTCTCCTTGGCTTGCAGACGTCTGCCTTCTCGCTGTGCTCTCCGTGGGCTTTCGTCTGTGCCTGCAGATTCCTGTTGTTTCTCTGTGTGTCCAAACTTCCTCTTTTTAGAAGGACACTGGACAAGTTGGATTAGGACCCACGCTTAAGACTCCTTTTAATTTTATCACCTCTTCAAAAACTTTATCTCCATATATAGATACATTGTGGGGTACTGGGGGTTAGAACTTCAACATCTGAATTTTAAGGAGACTTAAATCAGCCCATAAGAATGAAGTATCTGTCATGGTAAAAAAGCATATAGCTATCCCTTGAGAGATCCATTAGGCAAGTGGTATTCTTGTGAGGAAACCAGAATTCAATGAAGGCCAAAAGCCAAGAGGATGAAGCTGTAAAAGTGGTAGAATTCAAATTCTGAAGCACTCAGTGACTTCAGCAGTGAGGAGATTTGCTGGGTGCAGGTAAGTGTATAAAAGCAGAATCATAATGCAATATAAAGGTTAGTATTCAGGAGGAGTGAATGAACAGAGATTAGCTGATTGACTCACAAAGGAGGAAAAAAAAAGGAGACATTTGAATTAGCTGTCTCATAGTGTTATTAATAGTAAATCCTGATGGGAAAAAAAGTGGGTTTGCAGTGCTTTTCACAGTATTTTACATTATTTCTGCTGCAAAGTGAATACATTTTCTTTTTTTATTCTATACTTTATTATTTCTATAAAGGAAAGCTATTGATTTTGGTCTACTTATTTTATAACTTTATTATTGGTTCAAATAGTTTCTCAAGGATTCTCTTTTTTCCACGTAATCATTCATCTCTTCCATAAATAGTGATCATTTTGTCTCTTTTCCAATATGCTTCTCATCATATTAATTCTAATAATAGTGGTGAGTCTGGAAATCCTTATCACATATTGTCCTAGCGTAAGGACTGGATTTTATTCTTAGAAAACTCATGCAATAGTCTAGTTAAAAGTTAATGGAATTTAAGCCAGGGTTGGTGGCCCTGAAAATGAAAGAAAAGTAATAGTTTTAATAATAAAATACTTGGCTTTTGATGGGATATAGAGTCTGGAAGAATAAAGCTAAAGATGATTTCAACATTTCCTCTTAGATAACAGAGAAACTCAAGGAGAATGCCTCTCGTGTTTCGCTGTTAAGTATAAGATTATTTCCTCATGGTAATTGTTTGGAAGGGTAATAACTGGGCCACAGTCTATTCATCATTTTAATACTTTTAGCCACAAACTACCAAGCTGGATCTAGTTATACCAGCTGTGTTAACAGATTCCTTTGCCAACACTGGGTCTCATCATTTACAATTTCGTTTGTTAGATCCATAGGAAGAAAATGGTATCTCTTTATGAATTCTTAAAATAGTCTTCTAATTTGAGGTCTGATCAATATTCCGTTAGTTCTTTTTTACTGGTGTGATTTTAATATGTAAATACATTTGGGGTTCATCTTTGCTTATGGTGTGAGGCACCGATACAACATTTTTCCTCCCAATAGCGGCCCAGTTTTTGTAACTCCAGATGGATAGCATTTTGAAAGAAGCAAATGTGGCCTGGGAACACCATGTGAAGGGAATAGCATCAAACCAAAATTTATTTATTGAAAAAATTAACTCACTGGGAATAAATTTAATAAAAAATAGTCATTAGTAATATAGTAGGTGCAGACTCCTCACTTTGACATTTAAAGCCCTGAACCTGCAATGGGAAACTGGCAGCGAGCAAGCAGTTATAATACCAGCTTACATCGACTGCATGTAACCGTTTTATGCACATTTACCTTATACATTACCTCATTAAATGCTTGAAATGGTCCCAGAAGGTATTACTATCATTCCCTGAGGAAACAAAGTGTTGAAAGGTTAAGCAGTGTATGCAGGTCCCACAGCCAAGTCCTAGGCCACATTTCACCGACCTATTCACTATTTCCTAAAAATGCCGTCCATATATTTTTGTTCTGATGTGATCTGAGGCACACTGATAGCACTGTTCATGGTAAAATCAAAGAGGGAAGAGAGTAGAAATCCATCTGGTCATTCGTGCATTAATTCATTGAGTAACTCAGTGCCTCCATGTTCCAGGCAGAGGTCGAAGGGCAGGGGACAAGGTAAGGAATACAAGAGATGGAAAATCTCTCTCTGGTATGAGGAGTGGGATTTGATCAGATCCTCTCTCTGGGATGGAGACAGTGAACACAGAATAAATGACAATGATGTGCGATTCAGTGTAGCCTGAGGGAGCAGCATGGAGCAGGATGGGGCAGAGTGCTGTGGTCTCTCCAGGAGGCGGCGTTTGAGCAGAGACCTGAAAGAAGTGAAAGAAACAGCCATGTGATTATTTGGGAGACAGGATGTGCAGAGGCCGGAGGGCAAGTTTGTGCCTGGCCCCATGTGTTCGAGGAACTGTGAAAAGTCCAGGGCTGGGCTGGGGGAGCCTGCAAGGCAGCGTGGGAAAGAAGGCGTGGCTTACAACATCCCGCGGGACCTTGTAGACTGTGATCAGGACCTGGGATCTTACTCATCCTGCTCAGTGGTTTAGCGGATGGTAATGAGGACTCGAGCCTGGGCCGTGGCAGTGAATGGGGCGCCCCTGGGGCAGCACATCACTTGACAATTGACTGAACGTAGGTGGAGGAGGAATGAGTGACAGCAACATTTTGAGGCACAGCTGAAGTGACTGAGAATGATGGTGCTGTGCAGAAAGGAAAAGATGGTTTCAGGAGAAGAGGGTACCGTCTGGAGGTAGGAAGTTGGGGAACATACGTATTTATGGAATGGCAGGTGGACCAAATGGACTAGGAAGGATTAGAGATGTAGGAGGGGAACTGAGGTGGAGCTGAGTCTCGGCTGAGTTGCGGGGCACCTGCCAGGACTTGCTGGATGGAAATTTAGTGGCCTCCTAAGAACGCTATTACTTTTGCTGGGAACCGAAGGCTGCAGTGCGGTGGACGCTGACTGCTGTTGAAGTCAAATCTAGATTGGAGTCGAGTCTCTGTCTCTTATGAACGTTGTGAACCTGGGTAAGTCATTTAAGCTCACTCTAATTTCTTTACTTCTTTGTTCATATCTATGAACAAGAATTTTTTTAACCGTCTTATCACTTATAATTTATATTTTTTCTTACAAAAAGAGCTCATAGACTTAAACATATACTTTTATCATGTAGCTTTTGTACATACTTAAAAAGGAAAATATAAGTGAAATGAAATGGTTGAAACTTCTTCACCTGCAGGGCCTTACACTCTACACTCCTTTCTTTTTAAGTCAGTGTTGGTTTCTGTGTTTTCCACACACCCTTTTCATCAGGCCGCAGAGAACATTGGTGATTTGGTATTTCCTTTCTTTTTTTTTTCTTTTTTTCTTTAACTGGAGAGTGGTTGATTTACAATATTGTGTTAGTTTCTGGTGTACACCAAAGTGATTCCGTTATACAAGTATATATATATGTATTGTTTTTCATATTTTCCATTACGGTTTATTATAGGATATTGAATATAGTTCCCTGTAGTATACAGTAAGACAGTGTTTATTTATTTTATATGTAGTAGTTTGTATCTGCTAATCCCAAACTCCTGATTTATCCCTCCCTACCCACCTCGCACTCATTTGTTGTGAGTTTAAGTGAGATGCTGTATGTCAACTATGCTGCTGGAACAAAATAAGCCCTGATTAATGGTGCTGTTATGATAATTAATCCATACTGAGTGACTATTTTAGATGATGTGTATGAAATAACTTTATGAACATGAAAGAAACTAGGTGTGAGTTGTTAATGGTGTCAACAAAACTGAGTTCCCAGCTTTTCTGTACTACTTTCTAACTGTAGTCCTATACTAATTTTACAACTTCAGATGATAATATAATAGTCAGTGTTTTGTAGAAATGTGTGTAAAGCAAAATGGTGGTATTACCTTTTTGCAGAATGTTCAAAATGAAGGCTTAGATAATGAATTGGAGCTGAGAATAATTTAATTTTGGAGTTTTATAGTAAAATCACAAGTTCTCATATTTTGAATTTTGATGACTTCAGTATTTTGACCAGAAATTTCAGCCAATTAAGGAAGAATTATTTAAAACTTGAAGTAATAATGTTTCTGTAATGTATATAGCTTTAGAATCATGAACTTGAAAGTAAATGTAGGAAAAATATGAAATGAATTCTTGGCCATAGATGTAGGTATTTAATCTTATCTGTAGTTTCTGCTTTTGTCTTTCACAGATTTGTTTCTTGAAAATAAAATTGAAATTAAATCTATGTAGCTACTAGTTAATTTTAATGATTATTTTAAGAAGGAAGATGAAATGTGCTTCAGATTTTCAATGAAATGTATGTGAAATATAGTTATCTCGGAGGCTCAGATTCTTTTAGCACCTGAGCCACTCCCTTGAGACTGTAAGGATCTCTATCTAAAATAGAATGTAAAGAATAAAATATAATTGGAAGTGAAAAAATCTGAGTTGGTCTTTGAATGTCTTTAAAGAGAAAACGATTCCTCTGAAACCAAAACAAATACGAATATACCTTTGCCATTCCTTTCTTCACCTTTTCACTTACTGTGTAATTGTATTTTATTTTCTATTTCCTTATATCTCATCCCTCAATGACCCCAACTTTCTAACTGGTCCTCTTTGACCTACACAAAAGCCTGCTTAAGCATTCAATGAGTTCTTTATGAAATTCTGTGGTCATTTAATCTGCTCTGCAAGGTCCTTTTTGGGAGCTTTGTTCTGTTCTCCAACTTAAGGAGTAAGAGACTCTTGCCAAGTCCTGATTTTTATTTTTACTTCTGTTAGTAGTATTTTAAGGAGAACCGAAATATTGTCCACTCTGCTTTTATAATTGCTCCTTATAATTTTCTTTTAATACTGGATCACTTTGAGAAATGCAGAATTCCCGTTGTCATCTGACTTAACTGCCTTTGTAACCTGTTATCTTCATCTTTCCATTTAAGATATTTTAGTGCCAGTTATCAAGACTTATTCTCTTAATGTTTGTGGTTTATCCAAGCCCAGATGTATAGAAACATAATGGAAAGAAGTAGGCTTGCCTGAAAAACTTCGGTCAGCCATGTTGCTTTTGTCTGTTACCATGGCGCCTGGGAGGGGCACCTGAGAAAGGAATGAGAAGGAGGCTTTTCCACGCGTGGTGTTCACTTGAATGCAGTGGATATTCTAGTAATGCAAGTTTCTGATTACTCTGTCTTCTATTAGTGATGTTTAGCCGTGGTAATCCAGAGTTTTGTTAATAGAATAAATGGATTTTTCGAGTTGCTTGATTTTGATTATGCAGTATAGTCATAAGAAAGCAAAACTACCCTAAAACTTCTTGTTTTTTCTATCAGTGAGTCCTCTAACATTAATGTATTGAGGCATATCTACTTCCTCGTAAAAGCCTCAAAATAATTTATCGTAACATGAAATTTTAATAAAATTTCCCCTTCTTATCTAGTTAGCTCTGCTAGGCTTCTTTTAATTATGGGCTTCTTTTGAACCCCATCTGCTCTAGAGGCTGTAAAGAAACATACCTCCCCTTTTCATTTGAGCTTTAGCAATACACACTTGTTAACTATATTTTATTTTTAAAAAATATGTAAAGAAAAAAGTAGTCTCCTTTGGGCTTCTTTCCCTTTAAGAAGAGCACCCTTCTGGTTCAACCCCTTGTGGAAGAAAGGTCTTTTCTTGGAATGCACATTACACAGAATCTTGGTGTATGTACTCTGAATCCCCTCTATAATTTCTCATTTTCTCTTCCTTCTAATTTCCTAGGCTAGTTTTCATGGCTCACATAATTTCTTTGGTTCCCATAATTTCACCCTTTTGTGGTGATAATCTTGTTGCTTGAGAATCTTTCCCACCATTTCAGTGCCATGAACACTCACGCAGTGACAGAGTGTGCAAACTAATGCTCCTTATGCTGTGGTCCTTTCTCGGTTTGGGTACCAGTTTGCCTTTCACGCCAGTACATTCTGTATGGTGATGCCACCTCTCCTGCTCTCCCACCACAATCTGCAGTGGTTCTAAGAATAGCCTTGGCCATTCTCTCTTTTCCTCCTCCTAGGAGGCGTTGCCTCTCTGTTGTTAGCTAATAAGCATCATGGCATCTTGGAAATACAGGTAATAATCCTCAAATGCCATTAATTTTTCTTACTTCATCCCCTGAAGAGGTGACTAAATAGTTTCTTCTGGGGATGAGAATGTTCAACACTGCAGTAATTTTTGATGTGAGCTACATATGTCCTAGCTGGGGAAAGCCAGAAGGAAAGAAAAATGGCCAAAAGTATATTAAAATAGAATCAGGAAAAATAGTAGGATGATGACAAAAATTTATATCCTCTTTTTTTCCATGTCAGTATACTTCAGAAAAAGGGTAAGGAAATATAGAGGGAAATTGAGACAACACTGAAAAATATTGAGTATGTGTCATAAATTATTTTTTAAAAGAGCTGATAATGCATTATTTATCTTCTCACCTTTATAGTAGTTCCTGCTGTACTGAATCCTCCAGGGAAATTTCTTTTGCATTTTGCCTTTAGCGAAACCTGTTGGGAGTAACAGGCAGCTTCAAGAGGTTCATTACATGTTAATCTTTGATTTAAACCCTTGCCGATGCTAACAAAATATCAGACTGGGTCCTTTGGCATCATCTTTTTCTTTAGAGGACTGATTTCGTCATGCAAGGTTTATGTGGCATGAGTGATAATTAATGCTGAGATCGCTGTTTCTATCAGAACCATTTTGCCTTTCATAGTCTCGAAATTATTTGTGCGTGTGCAAATTTACCAGAATACAAATCCCAGAAAGTGAAATAATAGTAAATGTAATAGTTTAAAAACTTTTTTTTAATCTCCTCTCTTTGCTAGCCTTTAATATTCCCTCTTTGGCATTTGATTTTATTATTTGAATACTTCATTTGGAAAATTGATGTCCAATTTTGTTTTAATTTAGTATGTGGATAGACCTTTTCATTGCTTTCATATTGTTCAAGTTTGAAGAATTTGGTTTGTGCAAGCCAAAGCTGCCTGGATGTTTCCAGTCCTATTCAATAAGCAAAGTGTCCTCTATTTAATTACAGCGCCATGGAAACTCAGTAGTTCT